TCCTTAGCTGCCATTCTCAGAAAAGCGCCCATGATCAGCAATAAGTAGCCAGGCTGGTCATCACCACTCCAGAGGAGGGAATGAGAGAGGAGTAAGGAAGAGAGCAGTTAGGGAGACAGGGTGGGTCTCTGGTAAGACTCCATTTTACCTGAAGAAACAGAGCTACAAGGTGCAAGCTCTGGACAAAAGCCACATCCTTTCGCTCACTTTCTCCCTTTGGGTGCACCTTTTCCTAATTGGCCCTTTTTCAATCCTCTCCTCATCAGCCCTTTACACTATTGTGCCACTTTTTAGTCCTGACTGCTAACCAATTAGGTTAGAGTATTTCCAATCCTTACTGCCAACCTTACTACTGACCAGTTAGGTTAGTATATTTTCAGTCCCTACTGCCAACTAATCAGCATGCTCCAAGAGTCCTATAAATTCCTGACTGTAGCAGCCTTTCCCCAGGGAAGGGGGGGGCAGTTGGCCGCGACCCACTTGGGTCCTCTCTGGCTGAGAGCTGCAACACTTGCTTTCCTGAATAAACTTCGACTTTCTCACCCTTCGGTGTTCCCAATTCTTCTCCGTTGGAAACAAGGACCTGGACTCGCCAAGTCGAGAATGTGATTCTCCAAGCAAGAGCTGACAGCTGTAACAACACTCCTTGGAACTTCGGGGCTGTTGGCACCCCTGAGTTCTCTGGCACCATGGCGTTCTCCTCTCGGGGTCCTCCAAGCAAGAGCCATGACTGGGGGTCCAAGAGCTGTTAACACTCCTCGGGGCTCCTCACCTGTCGACATCCCCGAGTTCCAGGGCACCATGACGTCCTTGGTCGCGGTGGGTCTCAGGCTGGCAGTGCAGCCCCCGTGAGACTGCAACGCTAGTGTCCTCCTCACTTGTGACAATAAAACTCCTATTGACCAAAACCTGCGTTCTCGTGGCGTCGTTCGCTACTTGCCAGGCAAACGAACTCCGGTTTTTGGAGGGATAACACACAAAACTTTCCTAGCTTCTGGGAAGGACCAAGTGGCACTTTTGGCCCGTTGGCCCTTGTTAATTAAGTTCTGGGAACCAGCCTGAGTGGAGGCAGGGAAGTGTGGCGATGCAGGGAGTGAGCGGGGAGTGATACACCGGGAGTGAGCGAGGCGCATCCCTGTGTGCTGAAATTCCCTGTATGAAGACTGTATGTATGAAGTCTGCTCTACGTTAACAGTGGCAGGAGCGTCCCTCCGACAGGTCTGACCCAGTGTGGGCCATGTAGCCAGCCTGGGGGTTCGGGGGATGCAGAGGAAGATTTGTGGCCACCGGAAGGGATGGAGAAGGTGGCTTAAAAAGGAAAGTAAGTGCCTGTTTTCAGGGACCGGGTATTTTCATTTGAGGGAGCCCAGGCCTTCACACATCCCCCCAGGGCCTTCCCCTCCGATCCCAAGAAGCCGGGACCTCGGCGGCAGTCCTGCAGGGCACTCCATGCAGGCTGTACCGCGCTTTACAGAGCGGGCTGCGGAGGGCGAATGGAGGGCAGGGCCTGGAACGCGGGACTCCTGAAGGCCAGGCGTACCCGGGGCCACCCTACGCAGGCTGAGACGGCACTGGAACGCCGCCTGCACAGCGAGAAACCAATTTCAGCTGAGAAAAGTCTGCCGACGACCTCTGGGAAACGTACAGTCAGAACCTCAGGTGGGACTCCGCGACCAGTGCGCCTGCTCCCGCAGACAGTGGAAGTCCCAGCCTTTGCACGCCGCCGGGGACCTTCGGCGCGAGGAGGCGGGCAGAGAGCGGAGCCTTCGTCCGAGCATTCTGGGAGTTGTAGTCTCAGAAGCACGCCACGCCCGCAGCTCGCGTGGCTGCAGGACTACAACTCCCTGCATACACAGGGAGTGAGCGGTGCGCATCCCTGGAGAATGTGGCAGAGTGGAGCTGGCATAATTGTGTCCAGAGCGCTGCTGGTGCTGATTCCATCCGGGCCTTCCCGCGGGGAGTGAATCCGGGTAGGGACGTGAGGGCAGAGCGGGCCCTGAACGGTAGGGAGGTTGTGAGTTGCCGCATGCACTCCCACCTTCGTCCATATAGGGTCGGGTCTTCTCTTTCCCCGCGGCCCCTGCACAACTCCTATGGCTCTCCCTCCCACCTGGGGTCTCCGAGCTAGGCTCTTACTTCAGCCCACAGAGCCGCCTGCTTCCTAAACTGCCGTGGGAGCTGGCCTGCCTCCCCAGCACTGTCCATCAGTACCGCTTCCCTCTGCTTTCTGCAGCTGGATCGCTAGATGAGCCATTTTGGGAGAAATCCGCCATTGACCTGCCCATGAGCAACTTCAGAGCCTTGAAGGGGGTGACGGGGCAGTGGCTTTGTAGAAGTGTCACACTCACCGGCGCCTTTTTCTAAATAGGGAAGTTGAGGCACCAGGGAGGGTAATTACAGGGTCACCCAGGATCTGCTGAGGGCAGAGGGGAAAAAATGCCATTTCCCAGGCACATGTTTGCTGGGTCTTTCTTGTCTACTTATTTAAGTGGAGAGGCTTCTAAAACTCAAGGTGAAGGGGATGATGGTTTACACATTTTACACTTGAAATTGATGGACCTCCCCTCAACTTAGGCCTGACTGGCCAGTGTCTCAGAGACACGGATGGTGACGTCATCCCTCGGAACAGGTGGTGTTCCAGCTTTGTGGGAGCGACTTTCAAAGTGTGGAGCATTCGAGGCAAAGGTGAAATCTTTCAGGTTTAACATCTCAGCTTTGCATGGAAAACTCCTCACCCACAGCAGTCAGGAATGCGCCTTAACTCCTGAACCTGATCTGCTGGATTTTTCTATAAGAATGGAAACATGCAGGAGTACTTCTACTTCCTCATCTTATTTAACAATGGATGTCCCTAAATTCTTTCTGTCCTCGGGGACAGTTCTTTTGATTCTTAGATGATATCTACATAAACAAATCTAGAGAGTCCACTATAGAACATTTCCTTAAATTTTTTTTAGTTGCAATCTCACTCTGTTGCTCAGACTGGAGTGCAATGGCCGCTCCCGGCCACTGCAGCCTCAACCTGCTGGGCTCCGGCGATCCTTCGGCCTCAGCCTTCGAAGTAGCTGAAACTACGGGCGTACGCTACCACGCCCGGCTAATTTTTTGATTTATTGTAGAGATGAGGTCTCGCCAAGTTGCCCAGGCAGGTCTCGAACCCGCGGGCTCAGGCAATCCACTCACCTCAGCCTCCCAAAGGCGCAGGATTACAGGCTGAGTCACCAAGCCCGGCTTCCTTAAAATTAATTAGTTCGGTGAATGGAACAGTACATGAATGCCAGGAACATTTAACATTTCTGTTAAAATGTTTTTACTGATTCTCTTTCCTGGACTGTAAATTTGAATGCAGAAATGAAAACTTGAATTGTCAAATTTTTCTTTTCTCAGGATTGGTAAATTAAGAATTTTGAGTCCTCTTGCAACTTGCTTATGACTCATTGGCAGCTTTCATGTTCTATCATCCCTAAAACCTAGGGTTTAATCTACATAAAATAAGACCTTGTACATGTTACATATTTCATTAGGCTTCATTTTTGATTCCTGAATGTGGAATACAATCAAAATAATTAAAAATGTAGTCATGGAAACTGGATCCTATTACTTTGTGAAGAAGGTAACTCTTTGTGAATTAATTACACATGAATTTATTTGCAGTTGTTATGTAGCTTTGACATGATTCCAAACACTTGCATCATTTGCTATGTGTATGACATATGTTTTGCTGTAATAGGAGCTTGGAGTGTTTTCTGCTTCCCTTGAGGAATGTGAAGACTTATCAGATAACATATGTGAGCACTTGGAGCTACCCTCACCCCTTGGCAATGTTACTCACGGCTTGCCAGACCTCACGTGTGATTCCGGACATCAAAATCCACATAAACGCAAGATTTAGACAGATACTTGGAGAGCTCAGGCTGTGGAAAGCTGTACTCAGTCAACCACTTTCCTGAACGTGTAGAGCATGGGCTGTGACAGGCCTGGGAATTTGAAACCTCACCTGCCAGCCCCGGCACTGCCCTCTGGTATTGAAGGACCTTATGTGCCATCAGAGATCTCCATTGTGTTGGTCAAGCCAGCTTCTCTCAAAAAGCACTCATGTAAAGGTAAACCTCAAACTTTAATTAGACTTTACTTTCCATAGAGGCCTGTGCTTATCCTAATTGAGCAACTAAACTTTACTAATTTTGGAACTCAACTGTGTGGTTAATGTACCTTGTCTGTGGAGTGTATTCCCTGTGAGGTTTGTTCACATTATTCTCCCTTCTTTAAGCATTTGTGAACTTAAGAAAAATTTTCTTTGTATGACAGTAAATTGTGTGATTCATGAAATCATACTTTAATCACTTCCTTATTTTTATTATTTATCACAACTTTGTAAAGAAAGATAAGAAAATTCCTATAATATCTATGAATATAGCAAGATGAAGTATAGGGAAACCACAGGACAACACCAGGGCTTTTCTTGTTTTAAGTAGGAGCAATGCCTGTGTGGTCAAGTGCACACATTCTTCTGCATCCCTCAGTATTCTCATTCTACTTCTCCTGTGTCCTCTTTTTGTGGGGCTTTCTGATTATACTTGCCCACAAGTGTTAGATGGGGATGTTATAACATGAGGATATCTATTATCTTTTTATTTTTTAAAAATTTTTCATTTTTGAGCTGGAGTCTCACTATGTCATCCAGACTGGAGGACAGTGGCATGTTCCCGGCCACCACAGCCTTGATCTGCTGGGCTCCAGCGATTCGCCTCTGCCTTCCAAGTAGCTGGAACTATAGGCGTGCACTACCACACCCAGCTAATTTTTTATTGTAGAGATGAGGTCTTGCGAAGTTGCCCAGGTGGGTCTCAAACCCACAGGCTCAGGCAATCCACTCACCTTGGCCTCCCAAAGTGCTGGGATTACAGGCTGAGCCACCGAGCCCAGCCTATTTTTATTTTCTTAAACAGGGTTTTGCTATGTTGCCCAGGCTAGTCATGAACTCCTGGGCTCAAATGATTCTTCTGTCTTGGCCTCCCAAAGTGCTGGGATTACAGGTATGAGGCACCATGCCAGGCCAATATCCATCATCTTAAAACAAGGGTTACTGGAGAAGACAGTCTTGTGATCTCTGATCAGATGTACTGATGTTGGGTGTGTAGCTAAGACAACATGCTCTCAGCAGTCCCCATAGCAGCTGTCTCAACTTGGTCCTGATGCCACCACAGCTGCTGTTCGTAGGGCTGGGTGCTTCTTGTGGTTCGGTGCCTTCTGCCTAGTAGATTCTGTGACTCTGACCTTCCTCTCATTCCTGATAGTATCTACTGGGCTGCCTGGTTTGTTCCAGTTGTTTCCTAGGAGCCAGATGTATAACTGCATTTCAGAGGGTCTTTAGGGATTCCACCCTCACTACCTAAGTCACTGTACAATGGCCATGTACTTACCTTGTTGTAAACTCCATGTGTGTTCTCTGGTAGAGAGTTGTAAAAAATTCTAGTTTCTTACAGCACTTTTTCTGATATTGCTGGGGCTTCTTATGAAGCTGGTCATCTTGTCTTTGGTCTGATGAGTGTTTTTTTCATGTATTCTTTTTTTTTTTTTTTTTTTGAGTTGGAGTCTCACTCTTTGTCCCCCAGCTAGAATGCAGTGGCACACTCATGGCCACTGCAGTCTCGACCTGCTGGACTTAGGTGATCCTTCCACCTCAGCCTTCAAAGTAGATGGAACTACAGACGTACACCACCGCCCCCGGCTAGTTTTTGTGATTTCTATTGTAGAGACGAGGTCTCACCAAGTTGCCCAGGCTAGTCTTGAACTCCCAGGCTCAGGCAATCCTCTCACCTTGGCTTCCCAAAGTGCTGGGACTACAGGCTGAACCACCGCGTCAAGCCTTCATGTTTTCTTACATTTGATACTACTTTGTTAATAGTGTGGGCTCTTGCTGTAGCAGGCACTTTTAAATACCATGGCAAATTTAACCCTTGCAACAACTTAATGAAGTAGGCATATGGCCCTCATCTTACAGGTAAGGAAACTGACACTCAGAGTGAGTAGATTTTTTTAAGTTTACACAAGTGGCTGATGCATTTTGAATCTTAACCTGAAGCTTTGCCTCTAAGGTATATATGCTTACCGTATCTTCTGTGTTTCACTTGCTACTCCAAGAGTATATGTTCTATTGAGTCCCTTTTCCATTTGAAAATGCACACAAATAGGCCCTTGGTGGAGGAGGAAACAAGCTGGAACATGGCCTTCTGTGTCATCAGCCTTCTCCTTGGCGGGTGTTAGCTCTACTGAGCGAGCTGGAGAGGGTAGATCCTGAGCAGTAGTCAACTTAAATGCTTGTCATCATGAAAGAATAATCCACTCATATTCTTCAGGTGTGATTTCTTTGTCTTAATTTTTCCTCTGAGCTCTCTCTTACAGATTTGTGCTGTGCATTAATATGTCATACAGATATTGATGAAAATAAAACTGCTGCCTGGCTACCAAATGGTAACAATACTCATTGTTTTCTTCTTTCTCTAATTATAAAAGAAATACATGCTATAAAAAAGGACAGTTAGCTGGGCTTGATGGCTCAGCCTGTAATCCCGTGCCTTGGGAGGCTAAGGTGAGTGGATTGCCTGAGTCCGCAGGTTCGAGACCCGCCTGGGCAACTTGGTGAGACCTCATCTCTACAATAAATAAAAAATCAGCCAGGCGTGGTAGCGCGCGCCTGTAGTTCCAGCTACTTGGAAGGTTGAGGCAGAAGGATCGCCGGAGCCCAGCAGGTCGGGGCTGCGGTGGCCGGGAGTAGCCACTGCACTCCAGTCTGGGCGACAGAGTGAGACTCCAACTCAAAAAAAAAAAAAAAGAAATGTAATTGCATGTTTGCATTGCTTCTATTATTATTGCCCAGAAAAAGTATGACTTTTTTCTGTCTTTAAAATGTCTGACTCCAAGGGCTATTGGTTGGGCTTCAGAGGGGATAGGCTTGTGCTGTTGTATCTATTTCTCTTCAGCTGTCAACTACATCTTATAAACATCTAGAATTGAATACAGCCCATTAGGTAAATGTTTTCTGGGCCCCAAGTTCAAAGTAACAAACTCAAGAAAAGAGTTTACAATTCTTATTCTTAATAAAGAATTTTCTTTTATTTCCCCAAGTTTTATGATTCCTGATAGAAATTCATCCAAGATGAAGGGATGTGGTTCTGCTAAGAGTATCTGGCTTAGATATCAATTGTTAAGGCTGTGTTAAGGCTGTTCATAGATACAGTTTAATAATATTAATTTAAAATGTCTGGTGTTATTAACTTTCATTGCTAGAAATGCCCATAAAAGGGAGTATTTGATTTGGTAAACTAAAAATAGTATAAGCAGAACAAAATAATTTACTATTCATAAAATTTCTAAAAATTTAGATTTTTAAAAAATATGATACAAGCTGGGCTCGGTGGCTCAGCCTGTAATCCTGCGCTTTGGGAGACTGAGGTGAGTGGCCTGCCTGAGCCTGCGGGTTCAAGACCCGCCTGGGGAACTTGGCGAGACCTCATCTCTACAATAAATCAAAAAATTGGCTGGGCGTGGTAGCATGCCCCTGTAGTTGTTCCAGCTACTTGGAAGGCTGAGGCGGAAGGATTGCCCGGAGCCCAACAGGTCGAGGCTGCAGTGGCTGGGAGCGGCCACTGCACTCCACTCTGGGTGACAGAGTAAGACTCCAACTCAAAAAAAAAATAAAAAAAAAAAAAAAGAGCCAGGCTCGGTGGCTCAGCTTGTAAACCCGCGCCTTTGGGAGGCTGAGGTGAGTGGATTGCCTGAGCCCGCGGGTTCATGACCTGCCTGGGCAGTGAGACCTCATCTCTACCATAAATCAAAAAATCAGCCAGGCGTGGTAGCGCGCGCCTGTAATTCCGGCTACTCAGAAGGCTGAGGCGGAAGGATCGCCGGAGTCCAGCAGGTCGAGGCTGCGGTGGCCGGGAGCGGCCACTGCACTCCAGTCTGGGCGACAGAGTGAGACTCCAACTCAAAAAAAAAAAAAAAGATACAAAAAAATGATACTTTTTCAACCGTACAAGCTATGTATATATGAATAAAATATTCATTCCCTTTCCATTTTTGATAGTTTTCCATTGATTTGATTGGTTTATCCTTAACCTGGATTCTAAGTATGAAAGAACATCTTGGTTCTTCAAAGAAAATAAACTATTGAACTATGATTTTCTTTTGGCTTGGCATCATACAGGTGTTAGGAAAAAATTGTGTAATGATACACTGATTTTAAAATCTAATTGTTAACTAAAAGGAATAATAAAAAATTAAATAGTGATTTATATCTATGATCAGGTGGTAGTATATACCTAGATGTATCAACATTATTAAGGAAGCTGCCTCAGCCCTTCTGACATCCCTGAAAATAATTGTTCAGAAAACCTAGGCCTGTGAGCCATCTACCCTGATCTTTTTGGGTTATATGTGGATCCAGAGATCAGTGGCTTCCAGCAGCTCATACCTCTTTCTCCCCTAGCTTCTCTCTAGCTTACCTCAGTCATGTCTACATTTTAAAATAATAACAATTATAGTTATTTACACAAACTGCTTGTTAATCATTGTAGAGTAATAATCAGACTTACCATTAAATGTTAGATTAAATCTGTGGAAACTTGTTTAGTCAGTCTGTCCTCATCTATTCTACCATGACAGCAGATTTCTTCTGGACTGGTGTGGATCTAGAAATGCCATTGGGCAGCAAAGGCCTGGAATTAGGATTCAGGATTTTGTCAGTTCTTTATTTTATTATGGCTGAGCTGGTACCCAGTACAAGATAGAATCCTCTTTATTCTACCCTCTCCTTCCCCCAGATGGAAGGAGTCCTTTATGCTACACTGCCTGGAGTTAGGGAAAGGATGACACAGACAATTCCATGACCACTGCTCCCGGTGTTGTATTGGGTCATAGCTCAGTTCCACAGCCTTGGAAGCAGTGCAGAACTGGGACTTGCCCAAGGATTGCAGTCACTGTGATCTGGCTGCTACTCAAATTTATTTGGGGCCCCAGCTGACTTTAGTCAGAAACTGGCCAGGATTTGAGTTCCTCCTGCTGGAGTGGTAGATTATTTTCTGGTCCCAGGCTGGTCTAAACGTTCTCTCTGTGGTTTAGACCAGCCTGGGACCAGAAAATAATCTACCACTCCATTGTCCATTGTGATGGGGTGACACTGAATTCCAATGGAAAGTCCCACCCTCTCCCTAGTGCACTGGTTCACTCTCCAGGCTGCACTGCCTGGAGTTGGGGGATGGATGAGGTAGGCAGTGTAAGACTGTCCTTCCCCCCTGCTTAAATGTGTCTTTTCTTGTAATTATACTAAAATCGTATACTGTGAATGCTGTCCTGATATTTTGTTTTTTATGCAAATGCTTTCTTTTTTTTTTTTTTTGAGTTGGAGTCTCACTCTGTCACCCAGACTGGAGTGCAGTGGCCGCTCCGGGCCACCGCAGCCTCGACCTGCTGGGCTCCGGCGATCCTTCCGCCTCAGCCTTCCGAGTAGCCGGAATTACAGGTGCGCGCTACCACGGCTGGCTAATTGTTTGATTTATTGTAGAGATGAGGTCTTGCCTGCCCAGGCGGTTCTCGAATCCGCGGGCTCAGGCGATCCACTCACCTCAGCCTCCCAAAGGCACAGGATTACAGGCTGAGCCACCGAGCCTGGCTGCAAATGCTTTCTTACTTGGATAGTTGTTGGTTTAGTGTTCCTGAGGAGAGTGGGACATAAGGCCAGGCGTAGTAGCTCATGCCTGTAATGCCAAAATTTTGGGAGACCAAGGCAGGATTACTTGAGCCCAGGAGTTTGAGACCAGCCTGGGCAACTTAGTGAGGCCTCGTCTCTAAAAAAAAAATTGGCCAGACATGGTGGTGTGCTCCTGTAGTCCCGGCTACTCAGGAGGCAGAGACAGGACTGCCTGACCCATGAGGTGGAGCCTATGATCTATGATCGTGCCACTGCACTCCAGCCTGGGAGATAGAATGAGAACCTGACTCAAAATAAATATATAAATAAATATTTTATAACTGGAATCATGCAGTATTACTCTTTCTGTGACTGGCTTAATTCATTTAGCATAGGTTCTCCAGGTTTGTCCATGTTGTTACATAATGCAGACAGAATATTCTTACTTTTTTGTTTTTTGAGTTGGAGTCTCTCTCTGTCGCCCAGACTAGAGTACAATGGCATGCTCCTGGCCACCGCAGCCTCAACCTGCTGGGCTCTGGCAATCCTTCTGCCTCAGCCTTCCAAGTAGCCAGAACTACAGGAGTGCACTACCATGCCTGATTAATTTTTTTATTTATTGTAGAGATGATGTCTCGCCAAGTTGCCGGGTGAGTCTCGAATCCACGGACTCAGGCAATTCACTTGCCTTGGCCTCTCAAAGTGCCGGGATTACAGGCTGAGCCACCCAGCCCAGCCTTATTCTTACTTTTTAAGGCTAACTAATATTTTATTGTATGTATACACAACATTATTTTTGTCTATCTATATGTTGATGGGCAATTACATTGCTTGCACATCTTGGCCACAATGAACACAGGAAAGCTAACATATTTTTGAGATTTTAATTTTAATTATTCTGGACAAATACCCAGAAATGGGATTGATAAATTATATAATAGTTCTATCTGTAATTTTTAAAAGAACTCCTATACTGTGTTTTCATTATACCTACACCATCTTATAGTCCCACTGTTTACCTATTAAAGTCCTTTCCTCATGTTTGTAATCAAATTAATATTATTTTCTTGCTATTAAGAGGTAGAAGTACTTTATATATTTTGGAGATGGACTCTGTCAAACATATGACTTGCAAATATTTCTTCCATTCCATGTATTTCATTTTACTCAACTTTTTTTTTTTTTTTAATGCAGAAGGTTTCCAGCTTGATGAAGCTCCACTTGTTTTTTTTTTTTTTGTTTTTTTTTTTATCATTTTAGTTGTGGATATTAAGTCATATCTGTGAAATCATTGCCAAGACCAATGCCATGAAGGTTTCTCCTGTGTTTTATTTTAGGAGTTTTATAGTTTCAGGTCATATGTTCAAGTCTTTAATACATTTTGAGATAATTTTTGTGTACAGTATAGTTCAAAGTCATTATTTTGTTTTTGGATACTCAGTCTTATTAACATCATTTATTGAAGATACTACTGTTCTTTATCATGTATTTTGATACCCTTGTCAAAGATCAATTAAAGTTATATGTGTAAATTTGTTTCTGATCTCTCTATTTTTTCCATTGGACTCTATATCTGTTTTATGTCAGTACCATAGTGTTTTTAATACTGTGGCTTTGTAATATATTTTGAAATAAGGAAGTGTGATGCCCACAGCTTTGTTCTTTCTCAGGATTAATTTGGCAATTTTTGGCCTTTGTGGTTTTACATACAGTAAATCATAGTATTTTCTTTTTTATATTTCTGTAAAAATGTCATTGAAATTTTGATAGAATTGCATTGAATCTG